GATGTTTTTCCTTTTTGAAAATTTTAAAGGAATCTTGGGAGCACTTGGTGTTTTGTTTTAAAAGAATTTGAAAATATTTTGGAGTGCTTCTGTCTTTTTTTTGAAAAATTTTAATTTTAATTTAATTTAATTTAATTGACGGGAAAACCCCAATTTGCAATACTATAAACTATACAAATTGATATTATCTTAGAAAATACAAAAGAAAAAAAAAACTAATTTAGTTTCTTGAATCCTGTTGTTTTTTTTTTTTATTTTAAAGAATCTTGAGCACTCCTTGTATTTTCTTTTTAGAAATATATGAAGGAATCTTAAGGAATCTAGGCGTGTTTTTTTGGGAGAAAAATAAAAAAAGGGGACTACTGGTGTTTTTGTTTTTGAATAAATTCTTGAAGATTTTTTTTGTGGAAAAATCTTTAAGAATGTTGGGAATCCCAGGCGATTTATTTTAAAAAACTTTGAAAGAATTTTTGGGCCATTCTGTCTTATTTTAGAAGAATTTCAACGATTTTCGGAAACTCGTGACGTTTTTCTTTTGAAAATTTTAAAGGAATCTTGGAAGCACTTGGTGTTTTGTTTTAAAAGAATTTGAAAATATTTTGGAGTCCTTCTGTCTTTTTTTGAAAAATTTTAGTTTCTTGAACCCTGGTAGTTTTTTTTTTTATTTTAAAGAATCTTGAGGACTTCTTGTATTTTTGTTTTCAGAAAAATATGAAGGAATCTCAAGGAATCTAGGAGGGTTTTTTTTTTTGGAAAAAATAAAAACAATGGGGACTGCTGGTGTTTTAGTTTTTCAATAAATTTGTAGGAATCTTGGGAACACTTGAAGATTTTTTTTGTGGAAAAATCTTTAAGAATGTTGGGAGTCTTTGGCGTTTTATTGTATAAAACTTTGGAAAAATTTTTGAGCCACTCTGTCTTATTTTTAAAAGAATTTGAACGAATTTTGGAAAGTCCTGATGTTTTTCCTTTTTGAAAATTTTAAAGGAATCTTGGGAGCACTTCGTGTTTTGTTTTAAAAGAATTTGAAAATATCTTGGAGACCATGATTTGAAAAATTTGAGTTTCTTGACCCCTGTTAGTTTTTTTTGAAGCATTTTAAAGAATCTTGAGGACTCCTTGTATTTTGTTTTTGGGAAAATATTAAGGAATTTCGAAAGCCTTAGGTGTGTCTTCGTTTCTCTTAAAAAGTCTTGAGGACTACTCGTATTTTTGTTTTTGAATAAATTTTTAAGAATCCTGGAAGATCCTGGAGTTTTTTTTTTTGTGGAAAAATTTTCAATAATCTTGGAAGCCCCTGGGGTTTTGTTTTAAAAAATCTGAGAAAATTTTGGGGCCATCCTGTCCTATTTTTGGAAAAATTTGAAAGAATCTCCCACTTTTAAGGACAGTGTGCAAAATATTTTAAAACAACAACAAAAAAAAAAAAATTGTAATAAGTCTTTAAAAAACGTCTTCAAATCAATGGTGTATGGTTTCAAAAATAAGACACTGTCGGGAACCTTGCTTTCATCGCTTTAGAAGTCTTTCGTAATGACCGATTTTTAGACTCTTAGTCTTACACTCTGCAAGCAACAACGCAAATTTTGTGCACATAAATGCGGTCTTTAATTATAACAAAAAAAAGTAGAACTTTTCCCTTTATTTTAGGTTATTGCACCTGCCGCTATCAAAGCATTGTGTAAAGTTTCGCACTTAGAACGCTCATCTTTGAGGGCTCCTTTATGTTACGAGTGTTGAGAAAACAATGCAGTTTATGAGAAATTACTCGCAACGTCTTCAAGTTAAAGCCGCGTATAATTTTCAAACGAAACGACACACCCAACCGAAAAAAGTACCAAAATATATTTGAAAATTAAAATATGAAGGAAAGAAGGACACGCCGAAACAACATCATTTATCAAAATTTTGATGTTCAAAATTCCACTCTACCATCATTAATCTCTTTCTAAATTAGACTTGCCTAGATTGCATCTGCAACTCTCCCGTTTCACGGAGCTTCCGGCTTAGACCCAAAACACCTCACTTTCGTAAAAATCGCGAAATTTATGCTCCTCTTGAAATAAAACCAAAACAATCGCCGGCCAACTAACATCCTTTTCCTCCATTCAAATACGCGCCCGATTTTTCGCCCGAAAGCCTTCAGACGCAATTTCGCGTTTAATAATACATCCTGCATTTATATTAAATTCCTTTTATTAAGCACCGCGTTACTAAACATCACTTGCGGAAATCTCGTCAAGAGCTGATCCGGAGGAGCGAACGCTTTGAATAACCTAAATCTGTACGAGGTTGTTGCCCCGTTACACCTGGCGCTGGGAGAGCGAAGAGATCCACCCTATACGCGTTTGTGTTTATAGTTACGGATCTCGGGTTTCGCCTCGTGTCGCGTCATCTTGGCGAGGTGCCCTCGATGCGGAAACTTGGCTGCTGGGGTTTTTGCTGAATGAATCTTTGATCGGGAAGAATTAGGGAAGTTCTTTAATTGCCGCTGACGTGCCGCTGGGTTATTCAGGAGGTGGATAGTGGTTGGGGTGTAAATTTGGTTTTTACTTTGGTGGAGTGTTGAGGTTGTTTGAAGAAAATATGGAAAATGGAAATTCCAAAGGAAACAAAATTGGTGCACTTCTTCGACTCGATCCAGATGTCCTGAAGGTAAACAAATCGTTCTAAATGTATATCGCAAGTCAGAAGAAAGGGGAAAGTGCGAGAATTAACGATTTGCTAAAGAAATGGAGCTTTAACGAAAATTTCTGGTACAATTGTGTAAAAAATAATAATCGTGCAATTATTCCAAGTAAAATGAGTGGCAAGGGGGTTTTCCGGGGTAAAAGTGGAAGAAATTTTTCAAAAACTAAACAATTTTGGGACCATAGAAGTTTCTTTCTTGGAACAATTTGAAAGAATATTTGGGACACTTGAGCTTTATTTTTGAGTTGACGGTGGTTTTTATTTGAAAGGATTAGAACGAAATTGGCGTTTTAATAAGAGTGACGGAATCTTAAGGCCCCTGGTGTTTATTTTGTTGAAGAATTTAAAAGAATCTTTTTTCTTTTTTAGAAAAATTTTGAAGAACCTTCTGTTTTATTTTGAAGAATGTGACAAAATTTCAAAGCCCCTGGAGTTCATTTTTGGGAAAAAATTAAAACAGTCTTGAGAATTCCAGGTGTTTTGCTTTTGAAGTTTGGTCCGTTAGTTTTTGGTTTTTTGATGAATTTTAAAGAATTTCGTGAGTCTGATCGTTTTTTTTTTAATTTGAAAGACTTTTGGAAGCTCATGTTGTATGAAGAATAATCTAGAACAATTTTTAGGACAATTCTGTACACAATTTTGGCGATATTTACAGAAAAATAACTAGATATAATAGAAATATACTTCTAGAAAATTTTCCAGAAGATTGGTCTCGATTATAAAGTGATGGATAAGCGAAAAAATTTACAAAAATCAACAAAAATATAGAACTCAAACAAGTGGACTCCTAATGGGCAAGAATTTTTCGATTTTTCCTGCACCGTTCATTGGATGTAGATTTACCACAGCCAGATATTTTCTATGAACTTCAATAGACGTCCCAAAATTAGTCTCGTTTGCTGACCATTCAGAATACATTTTAGAATTAGCTTCGGACATTTTGCATAGATCACAAAGGACTACATTTGAATGTATGGACTCTACAGGAACGTTCACAAAGGGTCCATTTTAATTTTCCACTCTACTCAAATTTTAGATTAACTTTCGCCATTTTACAAAAAACGCACCCAAAATCCATGCTAATGTAGGGATTCTAAATGGACGTCCAAAGAAAACGTTTTAATTATTGATGTTATAGTCCTTAGGGATTAATTCGTGTTAACTCATTTTTATTATAAAAGCAATTGATTACAACTTGGGCAAATCGGATGATTTTTTAAATTTCTACTCTAGTTTTCCATGACAATTACGTCACTGCTGACGTAAGCGTCATGGCTAACTGCAGCAGAAATTTAAAAAATCACCCGATATTGTTCATGAAAGATTTTTCTATAAAAAAAATACTCGATTTCGTGTCTAATACAAAACGAGTATAAACAGTGCTCAAAATTTGAAATTTACAAAGTTTGTTGATCGTAACATTTCCAAGGAGGAAACAAAACTCCAACTTTATCCTTACAAAAACAAACGTTTATCTCCTTAGCAAGATCCTTGCTCAAAGACGGAAGGCTCCAAATAAATATTTTCTCAGAACGATAACCGTTGTAGGTCGAATTTGACGCCGTGTGTAAACAAAAACTTTGGCAATATTTTTCTTTCCAGGCTCCGTTTTGAGCTACCGTCTTTTAAGTAAGTATATTCTAAAAAACAAACTGGAGCACACTCAGAACGTTACTTTTGTATTCGGTAGAATTTATTTATTTTATTATTAATTAAATTTGATGTTCAAATTGTGTGAACTGTTTTCAAAATAACAGAAATTTTGAAATTCTGCTTTCTTACGATAGAAGTTATCGGTAACTTGTTACTGCGCCAGTCAAACTTAGTGTACGTTCAGTGTTGCCAACGACAGACTACAAAAACCCTAGAAAGTCAATCTGACCTTCTGTGGGGACTGATGCTATGATTACAATAACAAAAATTTCCTTTAAATGTAAACCCGATGAAACGACGTCCGATTTTAGTGAAATACAAAAAGCAATCGTTGTTTATATTACTTTTCACGTTTGCACGTGATTCAAGATAATCAAAATTTCTAGAATTTTTTTTTCAAAGCGAACATAATTTCTAGAATTTTAGCACATGTTCTCTAGGTGCTCAACCCAGACCGAGAAGCTATATTGCAAAAATGGGCACTTTTCCCTCAAACCTGGACATGCTCGTCTTCTTCGAGTGTGGACCCCAACCCCACGCCGTCCCCGTAGCCGCTCGCCCCCCGAAGGTGAAGGTCCCCCGTGTTTGGCTACAAGTCCACGCCGCTCGCTGGCATCCGTCCGCGGTTGCGCGCTCGCCGCACGCCACATGCTTACCGGTATGGAGGCTTTCTCCTCGGAGGCGGTTCCCCCATTGGGTGGCACATGACCGGCCTTGGCGACGAGGCCCGCCGGCACCCGCACCGTGAGGCAGTCTGGCGCAATTCCCCACTCACACGTGGCCTCGTCGAAGACCACCGCACTCAGTGCATCACCCGAACGCTCGCCGCCGCCACCGACACTCAACCGCACGTCAAAGTCCGCGCCACATCCGATCTCTTGCTCTGGGTTGCTTTGGTCGCGTGCTCCAGACGGGGAACAGCTGGGTACCCGACGCCGGGAGAGGTTGTGCGGCACTGCGAGTCGACGACGCTATTGAGCGACGCCGCCGCCAGGGCGCAGGTCGGCGCGCCGTCGCCGTCGCCGACGCCGCGGCTACCTGCTGCTCGCGTACAAGGACTCGTTAATAAGTGTGTGTTTTTACGTGTTCGGCGGGGACGGGGCGGCGGATTTTCGCGGTGGAGTGGGTCGGGATGGGGTGGAGGCGGGGGCGATGGGCAGCTTTCGGGCATTGTTGACACCTGCGGTGTTAGAAAGGGTTTTGGGGAGTAAAAGTGGACGAACTTAATCTTGATACAACTTTGATGGACTTTACAACCATCAGAACGCTTTCTGAATTTCTACATTTAACGGGTTTATGGCCACAGTTAAACTATTTAACAACTGTTCCTACAAAATTTAGAACTTGTTGAGGTTTAATACAAAGAAGTCAATTTTGGTCGGAAAGGTGAAATTGAAGCCCGATTTAGCGAGTTTGGAGGCTAAAAACCGAATCTGTAAACTGTAAAAATCGAATTTAAAAATTTTTAAAATACACAGAATTTTGCTTTTTAGTTTTTTGAAATTCCTAGTGATTTATTTTTTCAAGAATTTAAAAGAGTGTCGGGGCATTTGATGTTTTTTGAAAGAAATTAAAAGAACCTTGGGGGTCCTTAATGTTTTTTTTTAAGAATTCAAAACTGTGCAATAAAACTTTACACAATTCTCTTACAACTACTACGCCAATCACTTTGAAATTTAGAACGTGTTTTGAGGTTATCATCAGCCTGATAGATCTGTAACAGAAATTAATTATATATCCGTTCCCACCAAAAAACTTTGATGACGTTATGCATGAATAACTTCGGATTAATTTTTTTGCATAAACCTGATGCAATTCCGTTTCTTACGTAATTCTCAGAATGCGTTCTTGAAATTAATTTTCTCAACCAAGTGCGATATAATGTGCAATTATGCTCCGGTTCTTATTCGACATGAAACAGTTTATCATTCAAGCTATAAATTTCAAGTGAAGTGTACATTACTCCCCCACAATTCAAAAATCAATGAAGTTTATTATGACTTATAAAACAGTTTTCTAGTTTTTAAGTAGCTTCAAATCGTTGATATTATTTATCCAATCAGCTCAAGATAGCTTGCAAGCAACTGCTGGTTGAAGAACAACCGGATTTTGGTGAAAGCCGCTCCCGACAACGACTTTGGCGCTCTTCAGAATTACATAATTAACTCAATGGAAAACGTTCTCCAAGCTGATTTTATTTATGAAATGATGAACTCCGCCAATCTCGAGAAATACGATTCCGATGGTCATAAATTCGCACAAAATTTCTGAATATCAAAGCCAGAAATATTTCGCTTCTTCGTTGAAAAAGAAGTAACTAGTCTTTCAAATTGGTACCGCCCATCGCCTCCGCGGGCTTTGGACTCCGTACTTTTGATAATTGCGAATTCGTTCCGAGTTGTTTTTTAGCAAAGTTTGAAGTCGAGGAGGCAATTAATCTTGGGCCGAGTGTCTCATTATGTTCACGTTCAGTAATGAGATTTCAGCTTTGGAATGGGGCGCGCAAAAAATGAAGGCCGCCAATTAGAGGGGCTTAGTCTAAATCCGTTTCGAGCGTGCAAGAGAACAAGACGAAATAGACCGAAGCATCGTATCGGAGCTTTTCAATTAGAAATAATTACGGAAATCAAATGGAATTCGTGTCGTTTCCATCTTCGCAATTAAGCAAATATTATACAAAAACTTCAAAGGCGGCCTAATAAGTGCAGGCCGACGAGAAACTGAGACGACTGCGTAATCACTTAACTAAATATGCTAATTTCTGAGGATTTAAGAGTCGCCGTCGACTGCCTGTTTTCCGCTGCGAGTGCCGTTCGAGGCGCAAGAGGAAATAACTTTTCCGGTGTGAGCATGATACGTCGTTCCGGTTCAGGTGGTTGAACGGTTAATTTTCCTCCTATTGCGGGCATTTATTAACTGACATACGTAAATTACGGCGCATCGCGGTCCGTTTGCCCGGAAAAATATCGCCACCGGGATCACGATAATGGCGCGTAAAGCGCATTACGATCTATGAATTGAAGAGATACGGCTTCGGACGCTAGAGGGGCCATAAACGTAAAAAATAAATACAGGACGCGAGTCTTTATGATGGCTGATCCAGAAGAGGCCCGGATTGTTCCGGATGGATTTCCGACGATGGAGCTGGCGGGGGTGGAGGAAGAGTCCGGCGGTGGGCTTAGGCGATTCCGATCCCCACTTTCGGGACTCTTCGCTTACCGATGACTTTATAATCAGAATCAATATCGGGGAAAACATTTCTCAAAATGGCACCACAACATCGAATTCCTACTGTTCCAAAAATAAACTTTTTCGAAAACAAATCACAGGGGGGGTCTCAAGATTTTTTTTTAATTTTTCGAAATCGAAACACGAGGAGCCCTCAAAAACAACAGAATCCTTCAAGATTCTTTTAAACCTTTTTCGGAAATAGAACAAGGGAAGCCCAAGATTCTTTTAATCTTTTTCGGACACAGAACAAAAAGAATCTTCAAATTTTTTTGAAAACGAAGCATCATGAGCCCTCAAGATTCTTTTAAATTTTTGGAAACAAAACAACAAAAGCCCTCAAGACTCTGTTAACGTTTTTCGGAAACAGACTAGAAGAGCCGCCGAAATTAATTTCAACTTTTTCGAAAACGAAGCACCATGAGCCTTCGAGATGCTCTTAAACTTCTTCGAAATCGAAACAGGAGGAGTCCTCAAGACTCTTTTAAACTTTTTCGAGATTGAAACAAGAGGCGCCCTCAAGATTCTCTTAAACTTTTTCGAAAATGAAGCATCGGGAGCTTTAAAGATCCTTTTAAAGTTTTTTAGAAACAGAACAAGAGGAGCCCTCAAGATTCTTTTAAACATTTCCGAAAAAAAAACAGCAAGAGCCCTCAAGATTCTTTTAAACTTTTTGGAAATCAAAACGTGAGCAGCCCACAGATTCTTTTAAACTTTTCGAGATCGAAACACGAGGAGCCCTCCCATGAATGCTATCTTTAACATCTCTAATTATTTTTGGAATGTTTCAATTCTAGGCCTTTTTCTCTTTTAAAATCGATGAGAAATATTTACTATGTTTTAAAAGGTTTGCAGTCAATAAAGTGCATCATGCTTAAAATATGATCAGCATTGTGTCGGAAAGTTAAAAAATGGTGGATGCGCCGGGTTTCTGAGTCCCATTTTGTATAAGACTTATCAAAAGAGTGTTTACGAAGCCCTCGTGGTACCATTAACTTAAGTACCCCACCCAATAACTTTATTTCTAATCCGGAAAATTGAAAACATCGAATTACCCTCACTAATCTCTCTAAAATTAAAGTTACATTAACTCCCGAGCAATTTTGAGTGGTCCGTTAAACTTTTATTACATTAAAGCTGCTAAGTTAAAAATAACAAGAAAATCATCCTATTAATGTATAGGTGTATTCACTCCATTAGCAAATTAATTTTTCTTAGACGGAAAGAGCTTAAGAATGTTTAGCTTTAAAAGCAAAGCACTTGAATTATTAATGCAGGCGATGTCAACCGAATAAAAGATCAGCGCCATGCAACGTGTATTTTGTTTACAGAGAAAACACCCCCAGCAGAATGCTCCCACGAAGCAAGTAACACTAGCCGTCCATTTCGCAAAAATTAACAACCCCCGTTTCTACATTTTTCGAACAGATCGCATCTGGCATCTCGTCCGCGGTCCGTGTAAGTGCGCGATCGGTTTTTGCGCGCCGCCCCCGCTGGCGGCGTAATAAATTGCGGCGATATCTGCCAGAGGAAATCTTAGCATGTATCCGTTGCGGTTGACCCATATGATAGGACGTTCGGGTCTAATGGCCGACAGCAGGAACGCTTTCCGCCGAAAGATTTATCCAGTGTTATTCCGGCCGTCGGAAAACTAATGACGAACGTGCTTCTTGGTCGGTCGAAGAGCGTATGGTCTTCATTAGGGGCCATCATGCGCCACATTACCCGCGGAAGCTTTTTGTCTCGATGGCTGGTGCGGCGGCAAACCCTAACCGATAGTTTTTAGACTAACACCAAATTTTTTTAGAAACACTTAAGTATCTTAAAGTGTTTTATAATATTTACTTACTTATTCACTCCTTCACCTACTTTTCAGTACAGAAGATGTTGAGTCGAACTCGCCATCTCTTCATCCCATGTCTTCCGTGGCCCTCTTCGTTCCTGTAATATCAGAAATTTCTTTATCACTTTCCAAAACTACCGATCCGATTACTTTAAAACTGTGTGTATTTTCTAGGGAAGTAACGAATCGTGAAAACGAAACCATTTTTTGCAATTCAGGCCGCCGTTCGCGATCGCCTTGCCCAGAATGGGGTTGCTGCGAGGTAAAACCCTTAATTGTTTCATCGGGGGCGCATTAGCGCGACAAGACACTGTTTTGTGACGTCAGCAGCGGAATTAATGCCATTTTAATTCTGCGAAGCTGACGTTATGCAAATGCAGGACTTTCAGGAATGTTTTGCCAGTTAATATAACCCTGTTTTAGAATTTGTAAATTATTCTACGCAATTTCAATTACAAATGCAGATTTTGTTGTGCCAGTTATGGAACAGAAATTATGTATGGTAATTGGCGGCGTGGCGATCGCAGGAGGTTTTCAATTTTACGCCGAAATAGATAGGGGGATGCGTGCGGAAGCTCCTTAGCGAGAATCGACGGAATTTAGTAGACAAGATTCAAAAACACAAACACGGAATAAAACTACGAACAATTTAAATAAATATTTGATTATGAGTGCATTAACTAACTGATGTTTGAGTATTATCAGTTTGTTTTAGGTGGATTCCAGGGGCGCCTCGCCGCATTTGGGCCCTCTCGCGCCAATTTATTTACGGCCTCGGTGCGTAAGCCACAAGCCCATGCGCCTTAATGGGCAAATTGTAAATATTGTGTTAGAAAGTGGTTAATTTTAGAGAGGTTTACGGTCGGGTCACTAAAGGGGTTATAGACACAATCTCGGGCATTATCGCGCGCTCGTATCAACATCCAACTAAATCTGCCCTAGAAACGTCGCCCTATAAAATTATATTTGATGGTGTAATAGTGAAATCGCCTCGGTAATAGGACGGACGACTTTGTTCATCTCGCGTCTTAATCATGACGGAGAGAGTCGCTCTAAAAACGGGCATTTTTTATCATTAAAAGCTTGTTTCAGAGGAGACGCCGTCGATAAGAGCCCATTTGCATAGGCCCGTTTTAAAATGCATTAACAAAGACATGTTATGAAAGTTTAATGCCACTAGTTTAATCAGATTTTTATAATTCATTAAAAGCGGAAGCGAGAACCAAGCTCGCCAGCCGGGATCGGGGAGAGTGCTTTTAGAGGTATATTTACAGGTTTTACAACGGCGAGGATTATAGATGCAAGTCAAATATTATTTTTAGTTTTGTTAAAACCGGAGCGCTTACCGGGGGCGGATTAGTTTGACTGGTGTATCGGTACGTCAGTTCTCTTATTTTGTTACTTAACAAGGAAATTATACAGCACATGTGATGCTAATATGGAACCCTCAAGCGTCGTTTCGTCTCCACAAACAAAACACAAACTCTGTCTTCAATAAAAAACTCAAATATCAGAGCATGAACTACGTTTTTAGGTTATTTAAAAAAGCTGCACTTAAGTGCGTACTACAGTATTTCCCCCGGAGTGATTTATCGCTCAATAACGCCAACCCGTCCCCAAATTTTCGGCCACAACCCTCCCGTCCGTCCCACGCCACGAACCCGTCCATCCATCAACAATTAGTCGCCGTCTCCCATGGAATTCCATATCATATCGCCGCCGCAAGTCGTGACCAACCCCCACTGACCCTCCCTGCCATAAAGCAAGCTCAAATCAACATCTGCCAGCAGACACAATATCGAGAATTTAATTACCGCCAGCACGCGTGGGGTTCATAACGCAAGACATGCTTAATCATGGGCGACAACACATTTACCGAAAATAAAAACCGAGGCTGCCTCCGGAGGAAAGGACGTGCCGCACAAAATGCGCTTCAAAAACTAGCTAAATTTCGTTTTTTCGGTGGAAGGATTCGTGTCCTTCGGGCCCTTTCCTGCCGGCGAACAATCGTTATCAATCGGCAGGGGAGCGAACTCCGTAATTAAACAATCTCTGATGGAACTATCGTCGTCGTTTAGGTGAAATCCAGAGCGACAACGGGCACGTTGTGCTTTTATCTGGAAACATCGTTGTACGGCCGGTAATGGCCGGCATTGTGCAGACTAATTTATGGCTCAATAACGCAGCGAGAGGCCGGATCGAATCCGTACGTAATGTTGATAATCTGTACTGAACCAGAACGGAACGCAACCCCTTTATCCGCGGCGATGCTTTATTATTATCTTCGGAAAATGGTAAACAGTGGAGATGAGGGACGATAATGCCGATAAGAACACGGAACGAAGGTTCGAAGCCGTGAAAAAAGGCGGATTCCGGAGTTATTCGTTTCGGAGTTTCCGAAAGTATGCGCTTCCGAGGTTTCCTTCTTACTAATTTAACAGGAAAACTATTGCTATAAATGTAATACTAAGATGCAACTAAGGGGGACCTAAAATCCTAGAAGTTTTCTAATCCTTTCAACCATAAGATACCAAGGGCTACGAAGATGCTTTTTAAATTATTTTTAAAACACCAGGGGACCTCATTTTCTTCTAAAAGCCCACAAAATCCTTTCAAGTTCTTTCAAAAACCATACACTAAGGCGCCACAAGAAGCTACCAAAACCAAAAAAGAAACGCTAGTTTCCATAGAGATTCTTTCAAATCCCTTCAAAAACAAGACAATGGGGCTCCATTAGAGGGTTACTAAACTTTTAAAGAAAAAAAAAACAATAGGGACTCCAAAGATGCTTTCAAATTATTTGAAAACCTAAACATCAGAAGTCCTGAAGTTTATTCT